CCCCTGCATCGGCAGGCGGACTCTCAACCACTGCGCCACCAGGGAAGCCCCAACAAGAAGTTTTGAGACATACAAAGACGTAAGAAGGTTTGACCCCGTATTAAGGAAGAAAGACATAGTAGACAGCGTTTCCAGATTTGGCGAAGACTTGGAAGCAAGGAACTTGAAGATGGAGCAACAGACTTAATGCCTTCTGAAGACAGAGAGGAAAGGATCTTCAGTCTCAAGATCTGTGGAACAGCATCCAGTGTACCAGCACGTGTGTGGCGTGTGGGAGGGAAGGGGGGACACAGAGGTGGCTTTTAAATAATGACTTGAGAACTTCCCAGATTTGACGAAAACCATTTTATCTACACATCCGAGAAACTCAGTGAGTGCCAGGTAGGATAAGTACGAAGTCACAGTCGCACTGGGGAAGCTAGTGAGAAATTCATGAAGGGCAACAGTGAGCGGGGTGCTTCTCATCAGAAACCGGGGGGCCGCAGGCAGGAACCCGGCCAGCCCAGAATTCTGTATCCAGCACAGCCAGCCTCAGAAGTGAGGGGCAAATAAAGGCCTTCCCATGTGAACAGAGACTGGGGGACAGGTGGACACAGCACTGCAGCCACAGCTGTGGGACATGCATTGCCCCAAGAGCTCCTGGGATGGGTTTTCAACAGAGACCGTGTGCCAGGCCGTGGGACAAGTCTCAAATTTAAAAGAATTGAGGCCACACAAAGTATATGCCCTCTTATCACAGAAGAATTCAATTAGAAGTCAGCAACGGGGCTTCCCTGGTGGCGCAGGGGTTAAGAATCCACCTGCCAACGCAGGGGACATGGGTTTGAGCCCTGGTCCGGGAAAATCCCACATGCCGCAGAGCAACTAAGCCCGTGCGCCACAGCTACTGAGCCTGCGCCCTAGAGCCCGCGAGCCACAGCTGCCAAAGCCTACGTGCCTAGAGCCCGTGCTCCGCAACAAGAGAAGCCACCACAATGAGAAGCCGGCGCACCACAACAAAGAGCAGCCCCCGCGCGCCGCAACTAGAGAAAGCCCACACGCAGCAACAAAGACCCAACACAGCCCCAAATAAATTTCTATTAAAAAAAAAAAGCAACAGAACGTAACCTGGGGAAATCCTCAAATGTTGGGAATCTAACAACCCGTTTGTGAAAAACCCATGGCCCAAAGAAAAAATTGTAAAGAAAAACAAAATATTTTGAACTTTTTTTTTTTTGGTCGCGACGCAAAGCTTGTAGAATCTTAGTTCCCTGACTAGGGATCAAACCCAGGCCCCAGCAGTGGAAGCACCAAGTCCTAACCCCTGGACCACCAGGGAATTCCCTGAAAATATTTCGAACAAGATGAGAGCAAAGACAGTGTGTCAAAACCTAGGGATGCAGCTCCAGCTGTGCTTGGAGTGAAGTGTTTTCAGCTGTAAGCAGCTAAACCAGAAAGCAGAAAAGGAAGTTGTCGAATCAATAACCTAACCTTCTACCCAAAGAAACCAGAAAAAAAAGCAAACTCATTCCAAAGCAAGCCGAAGAAACGTTGGGAAATGCAGAGCAGGGAGAAGCAGGCTTGGGAGGCGGGGGACGGGGTCGGGGGTGCGGGGGTGGCCACGGGCGGTACGATCAGTGGATGCTGGGAGTGTCCTGAAGCCGGCTTGTGATGGTTGCCCGATTCCAGGGATGTGTTCAGAGAAACTGAGCTCGCTGGTTGAATTCTATATGTAAGTTAGATCTCCACTTTTTGTTTGTTTTGCCATACTGCGCGGCATGAAACCGAAACCGCACCCCGTGCACTCAAGTGCAGCAGCGAACTACTGGGCCGCCAGGGAAGTCTCCTTCCGCTTTTATTTGGGGATAGTTTGGATTCACTGGCATTTATAAAACTGTGTGGAGCCCAGTAGCCTTGGTCCGGCCCCTCCAGTGGTGATGTCTGTCTGTGTGGAAAGCACTGGCGGCCCTGGTTGTGCTCTCACCGTTTTTTGTTTGTGCTCACTTCTGTGTGTATAATGCTGCCTTTTTTGTTTAACGTGTTCACTTTTAAAGTTGTATTTGGACTTAACCCTGTAGGGACCTGAGGGTTAACGGACTGATGAGTTTTAACTCTTTGGCGTCCTGTGCCGCCGACCCCACGTGTTTCGGTCACTGGTCACTGATATTTCCTGACCCCCACACGACAGCTGGCCCCAGGAGCCGCAGGGCGCCCGGCCCAGGTCTGTGGCTCCCCCGCCCTCCCTCAGATGGGCTCTCCCAGCCCTTGGGGGCCCAGGAAGACTTGGTTTCTGGTAGAGGTGGATTTACATTGTGTGCACGGAGGGAAATCCTCTTGGCGAGTCTCGGTAGAGCTGGCGAGCAGAATGTTCTGGAGCCAGTGAGGTTTCTGCGTCAGGCAGTTGTTGTTACCTTCTTGTACCGGCACTTTCTTCCGTGTAACGCTTTAGGATCGAGGTTCCCAGGACGCGCATGCGTGTGTGTTCTGCTTTTAAAAAGCTCTCTGAGGGTTGAACAGCCCAGAGAAGTGGTTTATAAACGCGAGCAAAAGCACTGGGGGCAAAAAGGAGAACTGCCTGTTTCGGGGTGAAAATGTGGCGTATGCTGGTTCCAGGGACCGCCTCGAGCAGCTAGAAAGGAAGCGAGAACGGGAGCGCAAGATGCGGGAGCAGCAGAAGGAGCAGAGGGAGCAGAAGGAGCGGGAGCGGCGGGCCGAGGAGCGGCGCAAGGAGCGGGAGGCCCGGCGGGAAGGTGGGGTGAGGGCGGGGCCCGGTGGGGAGGTGGGGCGAGGGGCGGGGCCGGACGACCCTGCGGCTCCTGGGGTGTGGGCTGTCTGGCCCAGACAGCTCTGTCTGGGATCCACACACTGGGGGTCAGGCCCAGGCTGGAGAGGTGGGTTCTGGCCCCTGCCTTTTGACCAATAGAGAGCAGTCTAGAAAGCCCACCTGGGTCCTCTGGTCGCTTCCGGGCGTGTGTGCCATGGGAAAGGGGGCGGCCGGCACCACCTCCTTTCTGTTCTCGTGCCTAGTGTCTGCACATCACCGGACAGCGAGAGAGGACTATGGCGACAAGGTGAAAGCCAGCCACTGGAGTCGGAGCCCACTCCGGCCGCCTCGAGAGAGGTTTGAGCTCGGGGACAGTCGGAAGCCAGGTGAGGCTGCACAGCGCTAGCAGGGCCAGCGCGTGGCGGTCTTTGCGCGGGGCGTCTGAGCACAGAAAGTGGCTGCTGCTTCACATCACGATGCGCTAAACGCTTCCGTGGTGTGTGAGAGGGACTGTGTACGAAATAAGTTTATCAGCTCAGGCGTTTGTTACTGGTCTTTTGAAGAGTCGTCTTCCTCCCGGGTATCTGGGTGAGCTGTTTCCCATACAAACCGGTTAGTCTTCGTGTGAGAAGCGCCGTCGAATCTTGTTACTTTCAGACGTTTTACCACATTGACCTTTGATGGTTTGTTCCATAAGTAAAAGAAGAGAAAGTGGAAGAGAGAGACCTGCTGTCCGACCTGCAGGACATCAGCGGCAGCGAGAGGAGGACCAGCTCAGCGGAGTCCTCGTCAGGTAGCGGCGTGCCCGGCCCCGCCCAGGTCCGTGGCCCCCCGGGGCCGAAGCTCACTGCTGGCTGTTTCCTTCCTGAAGCGGAGTCAGGGTCCGGTTCCGAGGAGGAGGAGGAAGAGGAGGAGGAGGAAGAGGAGGAGGAGGAGG